TCCCTTGAACTAACCACCATCCTGGAGAAACAGATGCCACCACTAAGTGGGCAGGAGTAGGTCATAGATGGATTTCAGCCCCAATACCAGAAAGGAATGAGTCAGCAAGATGCCCTTGCCGGCCTGGCATCTCATCATGTTTAGTCATGAAGAACAGGGATAGGAGCCCAGGAAGCATGGGGGAAATAGTTCCCCTACTCTGCCTGCACTCTTTACAGCAGCCCTGCCAGCTGCCATCCACACCCCACTCTACGGATGAGAGGTGGGGAGTGATGGAAGTAGGACCTGAACCCGATTCCTCCCTGTGCAAAATCTCACCAGTAGCCAAAGGAAAATGTTGTGACCCCAGGGGTGGGGGTGCTTCTTCATTCACACCTCTGCTATGAAGAGCCCTTGCTCTTTTGGAGTTGGCTGTGAGGAAGCACATCCACACAGGGGACGGCCTGGGTGGTGTCTGCACCACCATCAGCACTGAGCAGAGCCTCCCGGTCCAGCACAGTGCACTGCACCACCCTGTCTCCACCACCCTTTCCTTGTGGAGCTGTGGCTACTCTGGAAACGTCATTCCCCACTAGTGCTTGCAGCCCCAGAGTCTAGGTTGGCAAGTGGGGATTGTCTCGTTTTCGAGGAAGCACACTCCCCTGCACTGACAGATTTTTTCTTGACCTGCCAGGACAGCTGGGCGGCGCTGACTTGCTCCCTCCTAGGGTAGCCTCCAGGGACTGCGCCCTTCAAAATCTGCACCCCACTGACACTTCTTACGCTTCTACTGTGTACGATGGAGTGCCCTGTGGGGGACTAGAAGGATCACCAAAGAGGGCTCTCAGGCCACTTTTCAGATGGCCAGTAGGCAAATTGAGTCCTGGAGAGATGAAGTGGCAGCCACCAAAGGCCACCCTGTGGGAGTGCTGGGATTGAGACCCACATTTCCAGATTCCACTTGAGGACCCTTTCTTAACCCCAGGCTGGCTGATCCCTGAGGCTTAGGAAGATGAAACACAATTATACCAAACTGCTATAAACCACAGCAACCTGCAATACCATGTATTGGCTGTGTGTCTAGCGCTTGAGCATGGACTGACTAAGATCAGTCATAAGCATTCAGTCCCCCCAAAATGAAGCTGCCGCCACAGTGCATCTCCAGTAATAGGACTGTTCCTGAATCACGTTTTCTGCGACCTGGGTCAGCTGGTAATGTCCTTTGCAAATGAGTCAGAGAATCTGTAACATGGTGAAATTGGTGCTTAATTAAGAACATGTTACAATGCAGCCAACTCTGCTGCAGATCTTAATCATTTGGCCCTGCCACGCTGAACTCAGAATGCAAACCCCAACAACACTTTACCCTGAACATTAAGCCTAGGCACAGGGTCTCCCTCTGCTACCTCCAGTCCATGGCTTCTGATACACGCCAATGTCGATTATGCATGTACTAGTGATTATCTCGCTTTCCTACTCATGAAAACATGCAGAACCTCCTCTCATTCAGTTCTTTCACAGAGGAAGCTTGGAAGATCACAGGGATGGGGTCTCAGGCTGTGGTGGACACTGGACACCACCACACCAGTCATGATGGGGATGGTTTCTTGATGCATTTGTACCTGGTCTCCTGGACCAGGATCACACTTGTTGTGTGTTGTGCAAGGCTAAGAAGATGTGATAAGGGGTGTGTGCCTTTGGCACAGGCTTTGGGTGGATATCTGGACAGAGCCCCAATTCCTGACCCTGCCATGGGCAACTCTGGGGCTTCTACGCCTGCTCCTAGGGCCCCAGCAAGTCAGCGGTCCCTTGTCAGCGGTCCCTTCCCTGCACAGCGGTCCCTTGTCTATGTGTCCAGGACTTTGGGCAGCACCTCAACCCTTCCTGAGCCAGAGTGGACCTTATGAGTCCTACTCAAAATAGGGGTGAACCCTAGCCATCTCCAGGGTTGGTTGGATATTGAGATTTCTGCCTTTCTCTACAGAATGCAAAGTCTGGTGGGATCCATTTATCCAGTCCTTCCTCTCACCCACTTGCTATTTTTTCAGTGCCAAGGGGATTTAAAATCTTAATGCCTAGATTCAAAAATGTAAGTGTGCCACTTGAAATAGCCACGGTGCCCTTGAAATAGCCATACCACTGCAGGCCTTGGGTGGACCCTGCCGCAGGCGGCGGGAGGACGTCCTGCAGATGCAGACTGGTGCTTGCATGCTGCAGTCTTCACTCCCACCATGGGTTGCCCTTAGCCACATTTTTGTTCAAAGCCATATTACTCCATGTAGGCAGCCCCAGACAGAAAGTAAAGTGGTATCTTGACTTGCACTTATAGTGAGAGAACGTACCTCAAGATCCCTCCCCATTTCCTCCTCTGAGCCCCACTGATGATGGAGCGTCACCTGAGTGGTGCCCACATGTGAGTGTTTTATGGGATGCCCATCATGGAACAGACTGGTTTCAGTTCCTGAAGGTGATCATATATGAACTTGGCTCTGGGAGTGGGAGGGAAATAGGCTGGTCATGTTTATTCCCTGCCCTGGCCTGGGCTGCAAAGCTCTGACAGCTACATGGAGAAATTCAAAGAAAAAAAAAATAGCCTACCTGTTTTCCTCCTAACTGTGGTGTCAGAGTTTAGATTGGATCAGACTCCCTGCTTGGAGGAAGTCAGAGAAGGAAGTGGTCACTGGCAGAATAAGATTACAAAAAAGATGTCAGGAGCTGGGGCACAGCAGTGAGGGTCACTGACCTGGATTTGCAGGGTGTGTGGGCTTGCTCTGAAGATTTCCAACTGTACATCTTTGGCAATGGTGTATGATCCTTCTGGCTCCTTGTTTTTTCATTACAACATGGGAATAACAGCATTCATGAGGATGAAAAGGGACAGTGGGTGCAAAATGTAAGGCACCATGCCTGCTGGGAGCAGGTGCTCAATAAATGTCACATTGCACAAGTTCATAGTGGCCCCTCCTGCCCACCAGAATCTTCTCTCAACCCATTCTAAGCCCATCCCAGCCCTACCTCCCAAGGATACTGACATTCCTATAAATCAAAGGGAACATCATAATGAAGGGCAAAGATTGGACAGTGGTGGTTACATTTTCAGAATCAAAGGTTTGGACCCAAATCTGAACAAGTCTTGGTGGCCATGAGAAATGGTTAGTGCTGGAAAATTTGGGGCTCAGATGCCCACAAGATGTGGGGAACAGGTCTGTCCTGCAGGGTTCCTTCCTCTTCTTTCCTTGGACAACTCCCCATAGCAGCATCAGCTTAGAAAGACACTTGGGGAGATCATGAGACATCATTGTCTTTCCTTGTCTCCCTCCACTGCATCACATAAAGGGCCATGTAAGACTCTCATGCCATTAACGAGCATGTACAGCTGAGCCATGTTTTGTACATTAGACATATACTTGGTCCCCAATATCCTGTGACTCTCACCAAGGCCTGTCCTGCATCTTTATCCAGTGCCCCCCTGAAAATAGAACATGGAACCTGTTCAAGGAGTAGTCAAAGGCCTGGTCTCAGGCAAACCCATTGGCCAATGAGCTGTGACCCTGAGCACATTCTATGCAGTGCTAAGTGTTCACTTACTTGCTCATTAACGCCACCATCTTTGACTTGTTTCCCTCCTGGTTTCAGAAGTCACCTCTCAAATGAACTCTTTATCTCCAAGTCCTATCTAAGGGTCTTCTTTGGGGGAACGCCAAACAAAACAAGAGGTAAGCAGGTATCATCTTGTATACTCTCCTCATTCACTGGTGAAGGTTTCACTGAGTGTTCCTGGAGAAAGACTTGGAGAACTCACAGAGCTCTGAGGGAAAGGCTACTTCCCACTGGTACAGCTGTCGAGCTGGGGCTGAGGAGGTATTCTTGGTGCATTGCTGCCTGCAGAGCTTGGCCTGATGCATCCTATATCGTCTAGAGAAGAGAGCGGAGGATTCCTCTTGGAGGGACCACAGGCGGCCTCATAAAGGCCCAGGCCATGAAGGCTGATTGGATTTTATGAGGCAGAGAGAGGGGGCACAGTTGGGGGTGAGGACATATTCCAGGCTGATGGTACAATCTGTGCAGATAAACAAAGATATAAAGGGAGAGAGAGAAAGTAAGGTGTGTTCAGGGGGCTGGCGAATATCCTGCCTGGTGAGAATATGGGAGCACACGCAGCCACACCACTGGCTCCCACCCTCTCGCACAAGCCTGGGGCCCAGCAGCCGCTCAACTAGTGATTGTCTGAATAATGAACAGATGAAAGTATAAAAAAGAGAGGGAAGAAAGATCTAGCAGGGCAGAGTGAGGGCCAGTTTGGGACTGCCCATGTACAAACTTGGGCTTGCAACTGAAATCATGGAAGATTTGGGGGCAGGAAGAGGAGGGCAAGCGGCCTGTGGCTGATAGTCCAGTTTAGCAGCAAATGTGGCCCAAGACCCCATGTCAGAACAGGTGCTCTGGGGAAGCAAAGGAAGAAAATGAGGGCGGTTTGGAGCAGGAGGCTTAACCTGGTGCCATAGACCCCTTGTAATCCAGTGAAGCACACAGACTCTACTCAGAAAAAGGGTTTGCAGAGCATCCATTAAAATATATAAGGATGAAAGGAACCTTCTCACATTGAAATGAAGTTGTCAAATTATTAGAAAATAATTTGTATGATAATGAATTTGTGTTGTTTCCTCCTTGACACTTTAAGTCACAGTGGTGATCTTAAAGCCACCCTCATGACAAGGTGATGAGAGCTGCAGGTGTGATATAGTGTAATGTATCTTGAAAAGATCGACTGGAAAGACAGACCTAGATGCTCCCAACACTGCTGTGCTTTGTTGCCTGCCTTCTTACCCAAAAGAAACACTAAATTCCAGTTAGAGAATGTCAATGTAAAGGTGTAATTTTTTTCAGCCAATTCATGGACCCCATATTAAAAAAAACAAACAAACAAACAAAAAAAAAAAAAACCAGGACAGTTTCCAGACCTCCAACACTGAAAAAATGTTGTCATCAGTACTGAGCTGGATTTTTTTCTCCCTCTTTAGCCCTGAATGAATTCCCCAATGACATCTTCACCAATGAGGACAGAAGACAGGGAGCGGTGGTTCTCCATGTGCTCTGTGTAAGTACCCCTCTCGCGAATCTCCCAGAAGCATCTGGAGGGGAGGCCTGGCTGGTGAGTGGCTGGCAGGTGGGCTGAGAGGTGCCCCCAAAGATGTCTTCCCTTCCTCCTGTTCACACACCTGTGGGCATCCTCTGAACCCTATAGGGGGCAATCTCCAAAAGATGCCTGTGTGTATTCTTTCTTTGATATTAGTGCTTAAAGCTCATGCTCCAAGGTCAAACTGACTTGCTCTTCCCTTTTTAACCTTGTTCCCTTGCTGCTCAAATGCCACCTTCTGGGGAGCTCTTTCCTAACCAACCTTTCCAAAATGCCAATGTCCTGCTTAGCTGGCTCTGTTTTTTTTTCCTATACTCTTGATCACTCTCTGACATAGAATATAGTTTATTTGCTTACTGTCCTTCAGTTCCACTCATCCATAAGCCCCATGAGAATAGGGGCTTTGTTTTGTGCATCACCTATTCTGTCACATGGTATGGACAAAGTATTTGTTAAATTATTGGATTCAATGGAATAGCAATTAACATTGTGTCTGACATATAGCAGGTGGCCGATAAAAGTCTTTTCCCTCCCCTCTGGCTCTTAATGCCCACCAGTGCCCCAGCACCTGCCTTTGTAGACCCTGTGGATGGAAGGCTTTTGATTTGCCTTGCCCCCATGTGGAGAGTGGGGAGGATGTGTGTGTGTGAAGCTGTATCTAAGGAGAGGCTGCTGATCTGAACAGGCCCAGGCCAAATTCTGGACTAGGTACCTCACTGCACTTTCCCATCTCTGTTGGCATTCACTCTCCTCCAGAATGCTCTTCATTCCATTCCAGTTATGTATTACTGCAAAGCAAACTCCCCAGGGCTACATACCCAGTAAACACTTTAGGTAGCTCAAGCAAGGTCAGCAGGTCACAGAGGAAAGGCTGCACCGTAAGATCTGGGACCTGAAATGAGATGATTTGGAGTGCTGGCGCTGGAGGACCCTTCAACTGGGCTCCTCCACCCCCATGTCAGGTGTCCAGATGGGATGCCCAGAGGACTGGCTCAATTGTGATTGTGTGGCCTCCCTAGTGTGAACTCCACATGGCAATTCAGGAATTTCAATTGAACCAAGAGGAAAGCCCAGAAGTGTAATTTCCAGTCCCCGAAGTCATATGCATCATTTCCACTGGATTCCTCTTACTCAGGAGAAGACCGAGACTTTCTTTTTCAGTCTTCACTGGGAGTCGGTCAGTAGGCGCACCCTGAGCTCTGGTGGCAGGCCAAACATAGCTTTGGACCCCACTTCTGCATCCTTGCTCTGTGTGTGGCATCTGATAATCCATATTGCTGGATCCATTTCCTCCCCAGGGAAATCAACTAACTCTTTAAATCTTTCCCTACTTTCCACCCCAATACCGTGGAACCCCTCCTTGGCAAAAAGATATGAAAAATCCCTTTTCAGCAAAGACATTTTCTAAAAATAACAAATGATAAAGTAGATTCTTTGCCACCCTTCAGGAATGCTGCAGGCACGGAACACTGATATGTATGCCAGCTGCCACCTTCGGCACCAAAGAGGCTCCCCTGTTGCAAAGCTGAGGAGACCCAGACACTGTGTTGGATCCAGAATACTCTGTAGCCATTAGCACCCTGGTGCCTTGATAGCTGAGAGATGAGATTTCCAGCCTCAGCCCAAAAAGTGTGAGCTTTCATCTTCCCAAGGTGGCAGTGCCACCTGCAGTGACAGAGCCCTGCAGTGAATTGCCACCTCCACCTCCCCTCAGAGTCCTCCAAATCAGTTGATGTTCGAAGGGATACATTTGCCTTCTTCTTCATGAGTCCAGGCTATCCCCAGACTTCTGTTTGTGGTAGATCTTTGCCATGTGAGCATTGGAGGCAGAGGCAGGGACATAAGCCTACAGCTTAGCACTTTATCATCATTGGTATCTAATTCCACATCAGCCCCTGCCCTGGGCCCTACTGTAGAAACCACAAAGTGAGGTGTCCAGGAGCCAAGGTCTACCCTTTGGGATCATGCTTCAGACACATGGAACTTCAAAATACTCTGCCCAAATATCTTATGCTATTGCTAAGACCTGTGCAGGCCTTCTTCCCAGTTCCTACTCTTAAAGGCAAACTTGACCTTTCTGCCTTGGACATCCACATTCATGCATGTAGCCAGACTCACACAATAGGAAATCACCTCTTCTACTTGGCCATGTGAACTTGCTGTGCCTTCCTCAAAGTCAAGGACCAAATCTTACATTATCAGACCCAGGAGAATATAAGTTCCCCAGTAGGATGCAAGCCTCATGGGGGAAGCCCTTTGCACAAAGTCTGGTTTGTTGACCATAAAAAGCTGCTCCATCCCTATCTGTTCAGTGCAGGAATATGCGATTCCCTTTGTCTCCTGTACATGTAGGATGCTCAGGAACTGGTAGGTGAATGTTGTTAGTTTCAAGAAAAACTGCTGTCAGGACTGACCTGTACATATCAGGGCCAGCAGTAAACACATGAATGCTTGAGTCAGTGCTACAGAGCCCTAAGCAGTTTCCTGTAGTAGCCCATCTAGAAAGCACATCTGAGGCTCTGCAGTCACCTAGTTAGGGCTGGACCCTCCTAGAAGCACAAGGTGTGCTTAACCTCACTTTGTAAGAGCTGCTGTCTTGGGAAAGGCACCATCCAGGGTGGGTTGAGCTGGGCTTGAAGAGTAGGAAGGCATTTCTTAAAGGAGAAGAGAGAAAAGGGGTTCTCACAGGGCAGCCTGCCATCAAAGATGCAGACACTTGAGAGCCCAGGGTGTCTGGAGGGAGCAGACACAAAGGACAAAGAGGGGGTGACTGAGCTGCCCATTGAGTTGAAGGTGGTAGGAAACTGATTCCTGCTCTTGCCTTCCTTCCTTGCCTAGAGTGTAGGGCTAACTAGGGTCAGGCCTTGCCTGAGAGAATCTGGTATGCCCTCCAGTTGGGTGAGCAAGGTCCAGACTGGCCACACAGAAAGAGTCCCAGATACACTGAGAACACCCTTGGCCTTAGAAGGGGTGTAGAGATGGGGGCATAGGGGGCTGAAGGTCATCACATCTAGGGCCCTGAAGAGCTGGGTCTCGCTCATCTTAAGGAGTGGGAAGACCTCCTGCCAGAGTCCCAGAGGTGTGTCACTTCCCCTGCCCCAGAAAGAGGGTCATGGGGCAGGCCCTTTGTGGGACAACTGGTGGTAATTTCAGGTCTTGTCCAAATTTCACCCAGTCTTTTCAAATCGTTCTCTGAAACCTGATTAGAATTAGCCTTTGTACCTACACCCACCTGCCCCATTCCATTTAACCTCTGTAAGTTTACTTTTTATGTAAGACCCACAGGCTTCAGGCTCAGCTGGGTGCTGGTCTGTGTACACAGATGGCTCTGAGGACCTCCTTAAAAGTCTTTTCAGTCTTAGCTGTCAAAGCTTGCTTCTCTTTTTGCTTTCTTTCATGCAAATACTTCCCTCTTTGTGTGTTTTGTGAAGCTCAAATAGCCATTGCTAGTTAAACTTTCCAAACACTATAGCTTTAATTTTCCCTTGAATCTTTCTGGTTTTGTGGATTTTAGAAACCCTAACTCCTAAGACTGCACTAAAAAGATTTCTGCTCTTTCCAACTAGTCTTCACGTAAGGGCTCCTTATGTGTGTGGAAATCCATGATCTATATGACTTTATCAACTGAATATTCCCAAGAAAACACACTTGTCTTAGAACTTGCTTTATAATCAATGTATTGTAACATGGAGACTCTACAAACTTCCCTGCCTGTGAGAACTTTGCATTCTATAAACTTAGGGAGCTTGTTTCAATTAGGAAGAATCCCGTGGGCAATTTTCTAGACCATTGTTCGTGATTTATAAATATCTCATGAAATTTTACTTATCATCCTGCAGGTAAATAGCTGAATCTTGGAGATTATAGGCTGAGCTTCACATCTGCTCTTTCAGTTAAAGAAGCTTTAAATGATCTATACTTGAAATTCTTTCTCAAGATATTCTGTCTGTTCTTGGGCTTCCCCTGGTGGCGCAGGCGGTTGAGTACCGCACTGTGAAGCTGTCCACAGCCTCTGCAGACCCGGTTCGATCCCGGCCGGCCGGCGAGAATCCCACATGGTGAAGCAGACCTCTCCTGCCTCGCCCGCTGCTCCCCTCAGCAGTGTATTTCATCAGTCTTCCTGTTCTGTTCCCCGCTCTGTCTCTGGTGAATCCTCTCACCCTCCCGTGATTCTGGCCTGTAATCCGGTTCTTGTATAAATAATAATAAAAAAAAGACATTCTGTCTGTTCTTTTTAAAAAAGATTTATTTATTTATTTATTTATTTATAGAAGAACTGGGGTACAGGCCAGAGACCCAAGGGATGAGAGGAGCCACCAGAGACAAAGTGGGGAGTGGTACAGGCAGATCTACCGAAATATGCTGCTGAAGGAAGCAGTGGGCACAATAGGAGAGGTCTGCTGTGCTATGTGGGTCAGCTTCCTGGCCGGGAATTGAACCCAGGCCACAACAATGACAGCACTGAGACATAACCCCTGAAATCCCAGTCACATTTCATCACCTCCATCCCAGGGACCTTGGTACAGTATGAAACGGTCTCCTCTGCAGCTTTGGGGAACAAGGAGGTCTTACTCTTTATTCAGATATGAGAAGATCCTGAATTTTAAAAGACTAATCTGGGAATATGAGAGAATTTAGACATAGGCCCACAGAGAAAATTCCCCCAATTCCCAGACTCCCTGGGTTGGAGATGGAAAGTGTGGACAGGAGCTGGGGACCGACAGAGTCCATCAACCTTGGGATGAAGTCCTGGACTGCATCATTTGGGGACTGACATCAGTGATCCTTGGTGCCATTAATGAGAATTTCCATCTCTGGGAGCCCTAGCTTGATAACCCAGCACAAGAATCCTGCTTGTGATTCCTAAATGGCCTGCACTGTGCCTTGCCCACCTCTGTTTAACACACACAAGTCCCTAAAATGGGCATTGGCTTCCAATGTTAAGCAAAGATGGAGATGTG